TCAGCTGCTTTACTGCATTACTAAGCTGTATTCTGACAAAGCTAGATCTTCTTTAGCCATTAAACACCTTCCTCTGTTCTCTGTCACTGTTTCTGCCGCATCCCTTAACCTTTTTGTTTCTAAGAAAGTAAAGGCTCAACAACAAACACATGATCATTGCCAGGTGACTCACTCACTTGTTTTCATCTGAGATACAACAGTGGGAAGAGGGTCATGGGTTGAAGAGGGAGCTCTCTTTATGAGAAGGAAGGTAAGGCAATAATCAGGAATGAAATTTTTACTATAACAATGTTTTTCAATAAGTGATCTCTTTTGTGAATGTTGGCAATGAATAAAGCAAGTGAATAAATAGATTTTTTTTGTCACACTGTCCTTTATACTTTCTCTTGGAAGATGTTGGAGCTGCAGTCCTTTTGGTGAGAAATCACTGGCAGATGAATGGAGAGGAGATAGAGGGAAGGAGAGAGGGCATGTCCAAAAGAAGCATTATCAAAAGATGAATTCAAAAGCTGAGAGCGGAAGTGCTACCAAACAAACTGGGATCTCTAAATTACGACATCACAGCAAACTAGTTAGAAGAAGAGAGAAGAGATTGGATTTATACCCCGCCCTTCACTCAGAGCCACTTACAAACTCCTTTCCCTTCCCCTCCCCACAAGAGACACCCTGTGAGGTAGGTGGGGCTGAGAGAGCTCTTTCAAGAACTGCCCTTTCAAGGACAGCTCTTGTCAGCTATGGCTTGCCCAAGGTCATCCAGCAGCTGCGAGTGGAGGAGTGGGGAATCAAACCCGGTTCTCCCAGATTAGAGTCCGCACACTTAACCACTACTTTTATTCAGAAGGATTTACTTTCAAACAAGTGTTAGTACTAAATATGGCAAGATAAAAACCATGGTTTAGAGGATCTCAGTTTAGCATTCACCAACAAACCACAATGTGTTGAACAGGCTGAACTGAGATTATACTAAAGCAGAGTTTAATCACACTGTGATTTATAAAGTGTGGTTTAATGTTTTTGTTTTTATTTATTTAGGATGTGATGCATGAATGCAATCGATACGTAAAATTCAAAGTTGACTAATTTAAAATAATTCATAGCTCTAACAGTTGAAGCCTAGTGTTTATAACCTATGTATCGGTATAATGTTGAATGGTATTATTATAATTCTTTTCCATGTCTAATGTAAGAGATCTAAAACGTAGTCATTTCATTTAAAATGAAAGAACACAAATAAATTGTAAAGACAGTCCTTAAAATCATTTCATCTACCTAATTTTAAAGTGAATGCATTAGAAATAAGAATTCTGACTTTATTTTCATTTGATTTTGTTATATGATGACTAACAGATACAGCAGACCAGTATCTTCTACCACCCATTATACATCATAGGCATGAGGGTAAAACCAACGGCAATTTCAGTCATCTGGTGCACCTTTCCTTAATGTTTGACAGGATGAAGCTGAATGGATTACCATTCTACAGCAATGTTTATCTTGATGGGTCTGGCATAGGTGAGAGAAATGCAGATATCGTAGACAAACAGATAGGTATAGAAATGTAAGAATTATCAATAGGTGTTTTCTGAGTTCCAGGGTGTGAAAGGACTTGGGACAGAAAAAAACATACAACATATTCCATTCATGATGGAGACACAGTGACCAGTGGCTTACTGTCTCTGCCTGCCTGTGCATTTAACAAACAAAAGACCTGGCATCTGGTCAGGAGAAGATGCTTGAGACAAGAGCTTAGGTTTGTCCATCCTTTGTCTTTATGGACTGAGAAGAGAAGGGATGAGTTGCATGGAGGATGTCTGACCGTGCAGCTGGCTTGGCACTTGGCCTAAGCTTTCCCAGTTAAAATGTGGTTCTCCTAGCCTCCTAGCAAAAGCCACTGTTTAAGCCAAGCCTGGCTTTGAGGACACTGCTTGTGGAGGTTCAGAGGTTGTTTTGGGGTGTTTCTCTCTCGGGAAAAACCACCCCAGGTACTGGGTCTGTGCTGCTGGTTACAATACTATGCCCTGAGGTGCAATGATCAAGGGTCAGAACATACGGTTCAGGACAAAGCAATAATGATCTAACTATGAAATACATTTTCCTAGGGACTCAGTGATAGACCACTGTACAGTAGTATTCAGGAGCTCAAGCAGGTTCATGACTAAAACTAGAGCAATACCCATGGTTCTGACTCTGAAACTATTTAATCCTTCACCAAAGGTACTGTCCTTAGCCTTAGCTGCTTGCAACTGGCAGCAGTTCATTCATGGGCCTCGCCCTGGAGACAGACAAGTATTGAACGGATATTGCGATTTTTAAAGCATACAATATTAATTATTCATACCAATTCTTACCTGATTTAAGCCATTATACTTTGCAATGCCATCCACCAGTGCAGACATCAACTGCACTTCATGTGACTTCTTATTATTCATAAAGTCATCTGTTTTCATTTCTATATCTGATCAGGGGAAAAATAGGACTAAATTCAGATTGTGTGAACTTTAGAATGTCAAAACAAATGCATCACTGGCTTTCTGCCAATCCCCAAAAGCTGATTTTACTGATTTTTTCCCAATAAAATATCCTTTTCCAGTAAAGCTTTATCCTGATGTTTGTTTTCAGTAAACATACAACATTCACGTCAATTGACTACTGAATTATAAAAGAGAACTGTTTAAACTACAGGCTCCAAAACATCCCCGAAAGAGTCATAATGAAGTAAATGTAATGTTTAGTGGCATTTCACAAAGTATGTTGTCTCTTTTGCAAGATTTGGCTATCCATAGTTCTAAAATGTGAAGCAGGCATTCAAATAAAGCCTTCATGTGATACAGGTGACTTGTATTCTACTACTTCACACTGCAAAGTTTAAAGCCTTCCTCCAACTTAAGTGGCCCTTCCAACAGGGGAAACTTTGCTAAGTGAACTGGTAGAATACATGTGGATGTTTCAAACGTCACATTCAGTATACTGGCTATTTCCTACAGTCCCCTCTTTCTTTACCTGGCTCACTTTTGAGGTTCCATTTTCCCCTCCAGTTTTCTGCTAAGCCAAATGCCTTGTCCATATATTTCCGTTCTGCAGTGAAATCTTAACTCCATCCCCACTGGTGTCAAATGCTTCCCCCCCCCCCCCCAGATAACCTAGATGTAGAAGTAGTATAAGCATTCAAACACTCTAGCCTGATGTTTCATGGAAACAGTGCTTTACATATGGGAATCCAGAAGCAGCACCAACTTAATTTTTTTAAGGGGAAATATACTTTTGAAAATGTAACCTAGACGTAGATGACACGCTTCTATGCTATTTTAGCTATTTCTAACACAAACTGCATAGCTCTTCAAAGTAATCTTTCAAGACTATTTTTCTTTTATGATAAGGAAAATCATGAAAAACACATGAAAGAGTTCTCAGCACAATATGTTTGAACGCTGCCTGTAACACTCTTCATTGTGTGCGAGTTCCTTTAAAATGCTTTCAAGCACTTTTCTCTACACTTAACAGATATGCCCATCTTCTGGAATACAGAATCAAAAGCAAGGAAAGTCTGAAAACCACTCAACATTTAAAGTTCCTAGTGATCATACTAAAAGACCCACATGGCAGCTCTGTAGTTTGGTCCTTGACCTGACCAGGTGACTGCCAAGCAACTCCACTGTCATTAATATGCACTCTTTCACACTGCAGTCCTAAACCCAGTCATGTCCAGGGGCTTAGAGGGGTGAAATTGCTTTGGATAGTACTATCAATGTAATTAAGGGAAACAAACCTTTTAACAGTTATATAAAAAGTTTATAGTTTATATAATTGCAGTATAATTAAAAAAACCCTGGAATTATGTGTTTCATTTATAATGGATATTTATTTCATCTACCATGTAACTTTACAGGCTACAGTAGAAAGAAACCTGGCAGTTGTAAAGATGATAATAACTTGATCCCTAATGCCACATGAAAGCTTAAAACTGAATGTGAAACTGAGAATGGGGACCCCAAATTTTAAAATGTATTTATTACATTAAGCTTCTATACCACCCTCCCCACCAGCGGGCTCAGGATGTTGCACAACAAGCTAATATCCTTATACTAATAGCCAAGTTGC